ATTTATTCAGCAGCACTGAGGATCTATCCAAAATTTTTTATGTCTACATCTTATAAAATCAATTTAATTATGTGCTGTATGAAAAAATATCCCTTTTGGCTTTTGATCTTGCTGCCTGATAATTTCATTTAATAATTCCCAACTTTTTATATGCAAGTAGCTGACAACAGCCCTGTTAAGTTACTTTGATGACTTGTTAGGTTTCTTTCCATCTTTCCCATTAGCACTATTTTCTTCCTGACACGAAGAGACTAAACATAGAGGAACATCACAGACTTGCATGATGACAGATTACTTCTTATCTTTATTTCTTTTGCAACAGATCTTGCATTTATGTTTTGCTTTTCTGATCAGCAGTGGCTGTTCCGGTGCCTGATCCTTGCCAGCCATTCCAACAGACTATCCCCAACACGCCCGCACTCTTTACTGAGCTTTAAGTGCCTGTGCTGATAGTTCTGGACACAAGGAAGTGCTGCTTAGAAGAAAATGAGCATTAGGCAACCTGCAATACTCATTTCTGGTTTTGATACCTATGATTAGTTCTGAATATGTTCTGGGGGAATCTGCTTAAAGTATAATTTCTGGAATAATTTTTTCCCAACTTCTGTTGCATTAAATGATGTTTTGCTCATAGGTTCTTCTTTGTGCTCCAGGATGGCCAGTCCTTGAAGGATTATACCTTACTTCAAATAATATTACAGTTTTGGAAAGGTAAGATGGGTAACACACATCGGACTTTTGTGACTGATGTACTGCTAAGTTATGGTATAGCTGCTAAGGGACATTCCTGCAATGGTTATGACACCATGACATAATTGTGACATGCACAGTGCAAGCTTCACATGATGTACTTCCAAATACTTTTTATAAGTACAATTATCTGCGTGCAGTTATATACATAGAAAACCAGTATTTTAATGAAAAATAACCTGAAATATTCTGCTTTTGTGTGGTGTTTTGTTTTGTTATTGTTTTTCAATGTGGCAGGCCTGATAATGTCCTGCAGACCCTGAAACTGTTGGACCTTTCAAACAACCAGCTACTGGATGGAAATCAGCTGCACCTGATAGGATATCTCCCCAGGTAGCTGTTAAACAAATTTGCTGGAAGTTCTTTGTCTTACCCATGTATTCATTCTTCTGTGTAGTCTTTGTGGACTGAAATACGTTTGGTTTTTTTATGCTTCATGGAAGATGAATGGAATCTTAAAACAGAAGCAGTTTGCCCTCTTGAGAAGAGTAACTGAATTGCTTGAGCTATCTTAATACAATCTTAGTTTGTTGTAAACAAGGCATTCTTAAGTTGTGTGTTGGTAATTTTTTATTATATACTTACTTATAAAACTGAAATTATTTATCACTTTACTAAGTTCTTTAAGTGTTAGCATCTACAGCATTTTATCTATGACAACAGGAGAGAGAGTTGTTGTGGAAAAGCAAAAGAGATTTGGTTGTGGCTTCTTAGGAATGGTTTTATGTCCATGACAGTGTTAAAGAGGCTCATCAGTAGCTGCACAGCCATCACAGTTGTTTGTGCAGAATGCTGTTAGGGCTCTTTGGTGGAAGGTGTGACATTAAAGACCATTGGTGATGGGCAGTTTCCACGAGCAGGCCATCCCACACTGTCCATCTATTTGTCCTTTGTTGGTTTTGCTTTTCTAATTAAAAAAAAAAAAAAGCAAAACACAGTGAGATTGGAGGGAGGCAAAGCTTGAAATTATTGCACTTATTTTCTAAATGCTCTGCCAAGGCCTGAGTGCTGTCTACTGCTGTTCACTTGTCATCGATGTTAAAAGTCTGTTGCATCTTTGTTTTTAATAAACAAAGCAAAAATTGAGGTGGGTTTTTTTGGGAGGTTTATTTTAACAAAAAATGTTGTGTACTAATCATTATGTCTTACATTTCAGATTAGAACAATTAATACTTACCAACAATGGAATATCTTCTGTACACTTTCCCGATGCTGAGTTTGGTACGTAAAAGAAGCAGTTGGTTTTGGCCTTATAATTCTGTTCACTTAAAGTTTTCATTATTGTTTGGACTTTTTCTTTTTCCTAGGATGCAAGACTAAAATGTTTCCTTCCTTAAAACGCCTTGCAATAAATGACAATAAAATCTCACAGGTAGGTTTGCTTGTGAGAGCTTCACATTTTGTAAACGTGTGCATCTTTCTTTAAGGGTAACTTGCAATTTGCTTTTTTGAGATTAGTTTGATTGCTGGTGTAAGAGCTTGAGGCAAATACTGAACTCTTTGGTCAACACACAAGTGGGAATTTCAGAGTTTTAAAAGATCCCTAGCATCTCAATTGATGAGATTTATGGTGGTGAGTCCTATCCCTCTGCTACCTCATAATTCCTCATGTGCAATTCCATCAATTTAAAATGCTGAATAGCTCTCAGTTTATCTAGTTTTTTTAATGAAATGTACTGCGATTATTTTCTTCATCAAATGAAGAGCATGGAAGTAGCTGGTTCTGCTGTCCAGAAGAATTGTTTCATTCACAGTTACTGCACAGGAAAGGCCAATGTCACTGCTTATTGTTCTGCGATGCAGTGAGCTTTGTGTTTCCTCAACAGACTCTTCCCCTCCATTTCAGTGGTCGTCGATCAATGAGCTTGAAAAACTGCCAAGTTTGCAGGTACTGGAGTGTCGCAGTAACCCTCTGATGGACACAGAGAAGAATCCAGAGACCCTGAGACAGCTGATTATTGCCAAGATAAGTCAGTTGGAGGTTTTGAACAAGTCTGAGGTATGCGATGCGTCAAGAAATTGCACAAGTCTGCAGAAAAACATTCCAAATCGTTGCTTGATTAATTTTTGTTCAGCTTCTTTTGTTTGTTCGGATGTGGGAAAAGTGAAGTACTGATTATTCCATCGCTTTGGTAAGGGGGCACTAACTGGGAACACAAAGTACAGCCCTGCTTGTGAGCATTGCTGGTTCAATAGGCGTTAGAACGCGGGAAAATATAAAATAGCACTGGCATTTCTCCATTGGTTCCTATTGAAATTGCAGGGCCATTAATAAAAAGCATACACTTGCCAAAAAGAAAAGAAAAAGCAGCATTGTTAACCCATTTCAGTTATCTTCTGTAACAGGAGGCTAGCACTATCTGAATCAAATCAAACTTGCAGCAGAACTCTGCATAAAGGAGGACAGAAACAGCATGTGTGCTGCAGCTACAAAGAATAATTCAATATTCGTGTATGGATCAGTCGGTACATGGAGGTAGAGCTCCTTAGATTCCCAATAGTTTAAGGTACCATAAATGTATGGATCAGTCAGTGCTTAGAGATTGGCTTTGTAAGATTATTGGTGGAGTTAAAATGTACTGAACAAGGCCGTAACAGCACGAGTCAGCATCATGAGTTAGATTTTCTTTTCTGGAAAGCCCTATCATTCTATTGTGCTTCATTCTTGTGTCAGTATAGATTTTTCCTGATGAGAGAAGAGGAGCAGAGCTTGATTATCGCAAAATATTTGGGAAGGACTGGCTAGAAGCTGGAGGGCACTGGGATCCAGCGAGAAACAAACCCAGTGAAGCATTTCTTGCTGCCCATCCCAGATACCCATCTCTTTGCCTTAGTAAGTACAAGTCCAGTTCCGTGGTTGCTCTTCTTTGAGCTGCTGTTGAATTTTAGTCTCAAAAGTGCTCGTGTCTGTGTGTGCTTTCCTTTACGTAGAATATGGTGCACCTGAAGAAGGAGAACTGAAGGGACAACAGCCTTTGACTCTGAAAAATCAACTTTTGAGTAAGACGCCAGAAATGGTCAAAGCCTTTCCTTCTGCACTGGAAATGTTTTTATGAGATTGGTGTTTCCTGGGTGTATATGGAGAACACGGGGTTCCAAAGCCTTTCAGAGGTCCTGGGGTTGCAGCTTGTAATTCCAGCTCCTTTTCCCCTGCAATCCAACCTGAATGATTTTGTTAATTAAGACTTAGTGAGGAAGAGAAGTATTGATATTCTCTTCTGCCCGTGTGAATGATTTTTCCACAGAGATTTGAGATTTTAACCCTACTCGCTTAGCTGTTCCCTGATTATGTTTCTTAATTTGTATAACTGCTTTAGGACTGTGAAGGAAAAATATGGGTAACTTTGATGTTTGGGGCTGTTGACATACTTAAGCTACATTACATCCCAGATGTAGAAATTCTCTTCGCTTTGTTTCCTATTTGATAGAATTTATCCTTTTTTTCTTTTTTTTTTTAAACTTCTAAACAGAATTGTAAAGCATTACATTTTAATGTTTAGGTAGAAGCAAAGTAGAACAGGGAATATGAGGCTGGGGAAAGGATACAAAAAGGTCTGTACAAAAGCAGACTTAAAAAGCTTTTGTGTCCTGTCAGAACAGGGCCTGACATTCACTCACTAATGCCTTGCTGTTCTTCCTTAAGCTTTGACAATTAAATGTCCTGACAACCCTGAGCAGAAGCCTGTAGAGAAAAAGTTACCAGGTAAGTCTTGTCTTGTTGTCTTAGCAATTGAGTTGTAGCTCCTTTGCAAACAACTGTAATAAAGGATGACAGCTGCCCCGAGCTTTGTCAGCTCCTGAAGATTGTCCCCTATGATTCTGTCATATAAAGGAATGACAATTGTAGAACTCAGTTCAAAAAGTCATTTTTCTGACCCTCATCCACTTACTTTCAGTCCTGTTTGAAAATTACAAGTTGATGCTTGTTCTTATTACCACGGCTGCCACTGTTCCATGAGGCAGTCAGAGGCCAACCACTGCATCCGAACGCTGATGGATGTACTAACCAGTAATAAGAACAAAGTTGAAAGAGCCAAATATCTAGACTGCAATTCTAGATCTCCGTAAGGTCTCTGGTCTGTCTTAAAAATGACATCAGGAGACTGATGCTGACCTGTATCAAGTCTATCTTCTGTGAAGTTTTGGTGCCTGTAGTGACAACTAAAATGAGCAGACTTTGTTCTAAATCAAACTGAAAGTTTGGAAAGATGTGTCAGAATGGAGTCTGAAAGAAAACAATTTAGTCAAGCTTTATTCTAAAATAAAAATCACATTTATTATCACAAGTTGCATAAAATCAGATGATAGATAGATACAGCTTTTACAAAAATGTTTGATAGAAAAATATTTGTTTTAAGTACAATGCGTGGGATTACAGGAGTAACTCACTATTGCTGTGCCTTTAGGTAAAGCTTCAAAAGAAGTACAAGTTGAACGTATTTTTTATATCGAGTAGATCTATTGCAAACAGCTCTCACCTCTGGAGCAAACTACACTTACTCAAAATTCATTACAAAAAAAATACTCCTTAGTGTAACTGACTTCATAATAGAAACGGCTGTACAGCTCTGCTGGCAGTGTGCTGGGGCCTGGCTAAAGCAGCAGCACTTACTGGTAGGAATGGCATGAGGTCCACAGTGCTGTTTGTGCTGGGAAAGCCGATTCAAGGTACGAAAACTTGAAGGAATGGGCGCCAGCTGCCAGCAGTCAGAACCTGACTGGTACATGTCCCAAAGGTCACTTGGTTTTAGCATGGAGTAAATTCAAAATCAAAGGTTTTGTTTCAAATTATGAAGCTGTAACACTTCAGTTTGGTATAAGGGATCCAACACTTAAAACACAGTAGTGTATTCTGTCTGATCCACCAGAGATTAAACCATTTTCAACTTGATGTTAGCAGTTATCATTTCAGGTACAAAATACGTTATTGCAGTGTTAGAACTGAAGCAGCAGTACAGCTTTTCACCGTTGCTATGAGCAAGTATAGCTGAAAAAACAGTACAGCTCCGTGGTAGCAGCATTTTTCTAATGATTTTATCCCCCCACCTCCCTTTTTCAGAGTCCATGACTATTCAGAAGGTCAAAGGATTGCTCTATCGCCTACTTAGAATTCCTGGTTCGGAACTGAAACTGTCCTACGAAAGTTCTAAAGTGAGTTAAAATTAGGTAATTTAGCAGTAAAATACGTCATGCTGATAAAGTTCAATAGCATGTTCTAAAGTACTGCCTAGTGACGTTGATCTCACACAAGGAGAGTGCTCTTCCTGCTGTAATTTAGAACTGCTGTAATATGGTCTTAACTGCCTGATCTAAGTTTGATTTGAATACACTAGAATTTATTGAAGTCTGATCAAACTACTTTCTTCCTTTCTTATTCTAGCTAAAAGGGAAAGAAGTTGAACTTGACAACGACTTAAAGCCTTTGCAGTTTTACTCAATAGAAAATGGAGACTCTGTGTTAGTACGGTGGTAAAAAGAGACACCCTTGGCAGACTGAAGGAAAAGCCAACACTCGAACTGCAGAAGCATCACGGAGAGTCTGCAGACCTGTGTGCAACCTGTGCCTGACCACGTCTGGGAGAAGGTGGTAGCAGAGGGCTCAGTGGTAATACTGCCAGCTCCTAAGCTTAGTAGTGGTCTCCATGAAAGCCTTTACTTTTGATTGGAGTGTCTTATGTAAGAGAAACCAAATAAATAGCGCTTAAATTCTTCCATTAAATAAATCTCCAGGTAACCCTTTGGCCATTATTTTATACTACCTTCCCCCTGCGGCAGTGAGAACTTGTTTTTACTGAACTGACATCAGGATCAAGTTGTGATATCTTTGCTTAAAATAGCTCTAGGATAAAACTAGTCCTGTGCTGAAAGAAGCTACTTGCTCTTTCTGTTTTCACTTATTTCCAAAGAACTTAAAGCAAATGAAAGTAAATCAGCAGTAATTGCAGAAGTATCTACACAGCCTTAGAATATTTAAAGTTAAAACGTGACAAACCATAATTCTACCTACAGTATTAACATACCACAGTATATAAATAAGTTCTCAGCATACTGCAGGGCATTGCTATTTATTTTACATTCTCTGCTGTGCTATTCCTCAGTAGTATTTTACTTCCACTCGTGTAGCCCTAGGTTTATAAATAGCACACTGAGCTATCAGAAATCCCACCTCATCAGGCTAGGTTTGTAGAACTTCAAGATTTGGTATAAGCAGACTTTGATTTTATTTTTTTAATCTAAAATGACAACGGTTTAAACAAACTGAACAGCATAAGATAAATCCCAAACCCTCGCTGTCTCAGCCCCTCCAACAAACATGGAACCTGCTGCAGCACAACTGACCAGCTGCCCTGCTACTAAGCACAGCTCCTCTGGGATCCTGGTACAGCTCTATACAGAGTTAAATCAGTAGTACTGAAATTTACAAAAGACAGGCTGGTTGGCATTCTTATCTGCATTTATTAATTACAAGTAGGTTTTTGACTTTTTATATAAAAAGGAAATTTTTATCTTAAACATTTTGGTTTTTGTCAGATCAACATCTATACTATAGAAATTGGATAGTTTCAGTCCACTTGTAATTATCAAAAGGGATGTGCAAATATCGTCACACTTCAGCTGAAACCCAACAGTAAAAGATACCTCAATGTTCCATTTTCTTCAGGGAATGAACCCCAGTGTACGCTTTCCCACCATCGGTATACGCTACCATGTTGGCCAATGCAAGCCCATTATCTTTCCTCACATCGGCAAGGATCTCCACACAGTTCCTTTACTCTCCAGAGCTCTCTCAGTTCCTGTGGGGAGTACTGAGGGGAAGACAGCATGCCTCTCTCACAGGTCTTCTCACACAGCCAGAGACTATCCTGTTAGAGAGACAGTGATTTCAGTAGTTTTTCTTAGAAGGTTTCCAAGAATCAGGTTTTCTTTGTGTGCCAAATGTATTGCTAAGAAGTTTCACCAGTTGGAGCTGTACATTCCTTCTTCAACTGCTGGAGCTGTTTGGAGTACTTGAAGGGGGAGGTGGTTGTTTGGGGTGTGGTTTTGTTCTTTAAATTGGTTTTAACAAGTGCTTTCTGGATTTTGATCTAGTAGCAGGTTCAAGTTTTGTAAAAGGAAAAAGAGAATGTTTCTCCTGTTTTATTCATTCTAACAGTCACCCTCTCTTTCCATAAGATCAGAGAATTTCTGCAGACTTACTTGGTATCGCTTGGGTCCTACAGCTGCCATCCAGATGCCCATACTCACATCTTCACCCTGAGACAAAACATGATAAAAGCGTTTGCACCAGGAAGGCCTAAAGCCCACACCTACATAAAAAAGACTAACTACAAAAAGTTGTGCCTGAGTAGTTTACAGGTGTTCCAATAATCCTCCCACTTCTCTGTGAAAAAGCACCAACTGTTTCCACAAGGGAAAAAGTACAAAAAAAGCCCCACCAAGATTACCATACCAGAGCTTCTCGGTCCCAAACAGCTGTGATGGGAGCTAAAACATCACTAAGTACGGTGAGCCAAAGCACTACAAAAAGCCACAGCATTAAACCAGGAAAATCCAGCACATACTTGAGCAGTGTTCTTTCCAAGTCAGCAACACTACATGCTGCTCCTCTAACCAGCCTAAGATAGAACCGAATCATAGTTTTAATACCTGGTAAGTCTTTAATCTTTCAGAATTGCTTGCCAGCCACTCAACGATGTCTTTGGAGATAACATAGCCAGACCCACAAGCAAAGGCTGGATAGGCAGGACTCGGGTACTCCAGCTCCTGCCATTTCCCAGTTCGATCAACTGCCCAGTTAAGTCTGAAACTGAAAACCACATTAACCTGTGAGGTGTTTGTACAAAGCTCTCTGTGAAACCTATGAACTAAAAAAAGAGCAATACTAAGAGGACAAAGTAGAAGGCGATCCAAAACAGTGTCCAGATAGCCTCGTTCCTCTAGAGCACAGCACCTAATCCAACACAACCCTTGAAAGTGAAGTTTTTGTCTGGTTCTCATCTTGGGTAGTAACAGGAAGTTCTCTGAACAGAAATGAATGTAGCACCAACGGTCAGGTCTCTCACATGGCTGCAGTACTGCTGTGTTTGGATCCAGGAAACATAACAGCATCCTTAAGTGCATTCTCTAACAAACAGCCACATCTGTGTTCAACCCCACCTGGCTACCAGTACCACACAAAGCCAGTGCCTCCAACAGGCACAGAGTTACAGCACAGTTACACATCCTATCTTCCTGATCAAACTAATGGCTGCTTTAAAAAACACAAAAAAAAAACCCCCAAAAAAACAACCCACAATATATAGTACTGTATTTTATATAGTCTACCAAAAATTGCCCTGCTAGACCAAAGTAACTTAGTCACAGCTACAGGAAGAAACACCTCTTGGAAAGGAACACTGGACAGAGCTTTATTTTCTCAACACTGATTTACTGTTGAAGCTTTCTGGGAGTCACCCCCTCCTCTGTGCTCTTTTCCAAACGAAGCAGCTGTTCAACAAAGGCCACCATCACTCTACCACAAACAGGTCTTGGCAGTTGCCTCCTCTAGGGGATGTTTTATTTACTACCAGACACCTGCAGGAAGCCAGAAGCGCAGCACACCGTACTGCTGACCCCATCTGACTGCCATGTCAGGAATGCCTTCCTTTACATTTCAGGAAAAGACTGATAGAACACTTGCCTTGCAAGTCTCTCACGCGCTCTCAGCTAACTGGCATAACTGTGTCAATGCAGCAGGTTCTCTGTGCTTTTTGCAAGCAGCTTCAAGAATTGCTGAATTTAGTTGTAAGTATAAACTAACACTTCTGTGGGCTTCTAAGAACTGTCGCCTCAGACACCAGCTCTGTAACTGAGGGATTACAGCTGCGTGGCAGACCTGTGATCAGAGTCCACATTCACAGCTGAAGTTGATATGTAAAGCACCCAGCAGACAAGAGACAGCTGACACCACAATCCACTTCAGACCACACAAAATCACAGAATCACCAGTGTTGGAAAAGGCCTCCAAGATCGTCCAGTCCAACCGTCCACCTACCACCAGTACTTCCCATTAAACCATGTCCCTGAGTACCATGATGTGAATGTTCCTTGAACACCTCCAGGGACAGTAACTCCACAACCTCTGTGGGCAGCCCATTCCAGTACCAGACCACACTTTCAGAGAAGTTTCTCCTCATGTCCAACCTCAATCCCCCCAGTGCAACTTGAGGCCATCACCTCTCATCTTCCATTGACAGGACAGGAGGGGTGCAGCCCTCCTATATACCTCCTTCAAACTGAGGGGTAAAGGCCTTGCTACTCATTTTGTACTTCCTATACTGATTTCAGCTTTCTTCATCTCACACTTGTCTTACCAGGAGACTGTGACTATTAGAGCATTTACACATGAAGACATTACTTACATAGAAAAGATTTTGTCCAAATCTCCCTACTAGGACATGACTTTTAAGTAATCTGTTAAAGACTTATTAAAAAAAAAAAGCAAAACCAACTCACTTTCCCCACCAAATGTTTGGTCTGTCCAATTTTTTCTGTGTTATCCTGTTAAAAACAGCCTCCAAGTCAATGTAACAATCATCATCCGTCTTCAGCAACAAATCAAAACTTGTTGTTTCAACTGTCCTGTAACAGAAAAGTGATGAGTTGCTTGGCTGTAGCCCACAGTTATACAACAAAACACTTCACAAGGGTTTTTTCTGGGGAGCAGAGGAGAAAGCAAGAGATAAGTGAAGACATTGCCTTCCCTCATCCAGCTTATGAACAGTTCCCCTGTTGCCTACGGCTTACTACCTGTCCTGTCAAAAGGAGGTGGAGCTGCACCCTATAACAATCTTATGGCATGGATCTGCAGAAAAGAATCTTGCAGTTCTGTCCTGTTCTCCAGTACAGATGGGGGATTTACAAATAAATCTGCCTTAAGCAGTATTGGCCACAAAAGGATATGAATCCCTGGTAATGATGGCCACACAGCTGTTAAAAGTTAGTGGTCTGTTCTTCAGGATGAGGTGGTCAGTTCAAGGGCAGTACAGCTGTAGAAGTTACACAGAACACCTGAGGAAACAACCTGGTACTTAGGCTTCCTCTACAAAGCATGCTTCTAATAGGAAAGAAACTATTTGAAACTGCCTGAAATATCCGTCATCTGTAAAATAACCAAAGCTTGAGATTCTAGGGATTATTCCTTGGTTTAATCCAACTTTGTTTCAGAGAGTAATTTCAGACAGGAAAGCATTTTCCTTAAGTTTTACAGTACTAAATCCTGAAGATTTTGCTAGCCTTTAAGAAACGATCACTGAGATCTACATCTTTAACAATTAATCTCCCTTTTTATAACTGAAAGCATGTTTCAGTTTTCAGTTACATTCTTAACCACGACATTTGTTAAAGAAATGTAGAATCTCGCCAGCAGCTAAAACTCAGCTATCCTTCTTACTCCATTCAGGATCAATTAATTGAAACAGTTGTCTCAGAATAACACAGATGATATATTATGAAAATGCTTCCTCTCACCCTTTCTTCCCCACACTATGCAATCCTCCTGTCCTTCCCCTCCATTCAGCATGGCTGAGAACAGAACTGAAGGACAGCGTCCAGTCCAGGGGCTAACCAGTAAAGAGACACGAATATACTGGCTGGAGAGCATCCAGTGCAGGGCCACTAAGAGAATCTGGGACTGGACCATCTTTCTTATGAGGAAAGGCTGAGAGAACAGGGACTGTTCAGCCTGAAGAAAAGGAGATCAGGAGGGCTCTCATCAGCATCTACAGATACCTGAAGGGAGGCTGTAAAGTCAACAGAGCCACGCTCATTTCAGGTGTATCCAACAACATGGCAAGAGGCAACAGGCACAAACTGAAACTCTAAGGTCTAACTCTAAGCTGGCCAAAAAACATCCTTTAGAAGAGTAAAACTGCATGCTTAGAAACAAAAGAAATTCAAAGACACAACAATTTTGTCACCTGGACTCTTAGAGCAGAAAGGTCTGCCTTGCCAGTCACACTCATTTAAGGCACCAAATACTTTATTCATTAGATATACTATGTGCCTCAAAACTGTGAGAGAGAAGCACAGCTAGATGAAGGAAATCACATAAGGTATGCACTTTGTGAAAGTGTCATATAATGTAATATGCTGGATTATCTCACACTACAAACAAGGTTCCTAAGAGAAAACGCCATTCTTTCAACTCACCATCGGTAGAAGTTCAGTAGTTTAGATGGAACGTTTCTGTAAGTGTCAATAACATCTACAAAAACAATATCATCATAGGTACTGCTTTCTTCCTCCAGTAGAGTATCTTCCTTCTCAAGACTTTTTATGTGACTTGTAAACCTTTCTGGGCGAGTATGGAGGCTTTTTAACAGAGCATCACCTTCTGAAAGAAGCGGCAGCCATTGTTAAACAAAGATGCTTACCTACATAATATTTGACATATTTCTTTTGGATCATATGCAGCATACAGACAAATCTGAAAAGGTGTTTAATGAGATTACAAAAATCCTACAATCAATTTTAAAATGTATATGAGGTTAAAAGTTGCAGAACAAATAAAAAAGTACTCTTCAGTAACAAAAGAATTCAAACTTTTAAAGTTGTTCAGTGCAAAAAGCTGTTCACTGTTACTCTTACCAGCAGAGTTTACTCTGTTACTGTTACAGAAACCTCAAAACAAAGAAAATATCCTTTGCTAAAGATAACCAAACTGGCCCTGTTTTGATGTAGCATAGTTGGTCCCTGCTGAACTTCACCACATACCTGGCTGTAGGTAAAAGCTAAAAAGATCTTGCAATACTGAACTTCTCAGTAAGAAGAGTTCATTGCACTGAGGAACTTATCCAACATCGGGAGGGATGGGCCTTAGCACATCTCAGTTTATGTTTCTACACAAAAGACAAGATGAGAAGACTGCCCAGCTATATTGCTGTATCTAGCTAGGAAAAGACAGGAGTAACACTCTGAAACTCATTGCCTGTATTGGCTATGATGGACAGATGAGAATATATTACAGTACGATGCAGCCAAAATCTCAAGAAATTGGAAAGGGCCCTTACAGAGTCTCTGAATGTTCTGCTGAAATAGGTGTGAAACAACAGCAGTGAAGAAGCAGGCTGCATTAGGTAACTGCTGTTTGTTAGTTTGATAGCAAACTTTAATAACAATAATTCTGAAAGTAGCAGGACGGGAGCAAATGTGAACATCACCAAGGAAAGATCTCCTGAGGACCACATTGCACACAGTGTTTTAAACTTGGGTTTGGGTTACAGAAAACAAGGACAGAGGAGACTACTGAAAAATGTTGTTTCTGTTAATAAAAAGACAATGAGATTAAAGTCAATCGGAGCAGCTGGCAAATGGCAAACAAAGAAGGCATGGCAGGACACTGATGCTGAGCATTAAAAAGAAATAATTCTTTTAGTGGAAACAATAAGCTGATCAAGTTAATAGAGTGAGCATTAATTTACCTCAGAAAAGTAACTTAAAGTTCCTGTTTTATAATAACATCAAACGCAGTGCTGTCTGAAAACTTACCTTGAATAGTGTAGATGAAACCACCTGCTATCCCCTCCACACCTTCTGTGAGTTCATGTGGCAACAGCCCTTCCCCTGCCTGTCGAGGACACAATCATGGAAAGAAACTAATTAAACTCTCATTACTGATCTGCTTTCCACTGATTTTAGGGCATGAAATTTCCTGGAAACTAAGAATGGAATGAGTTGAAAACAATTCTGGTTTAGGTGCCTGCATAATGAAAGACAAAGAGTAGGATTTTGAACTGTAAAATTTTGTGGCATTTTTGAAAGTTTCACTTAAAACTAATGCACCCTGAATCCAAAACCACAGTAACAACGGGCCTCGCAATTATACCTATTTCATCACCTACTGAAAGGCAATGGCTGAACTGCACTCAAAACACAAGAACATGTCCCATGCTGGCATCATTTCTTGTATGCCCTGGTTCTTTTCCTGGGTAAAGCAAACTTTTGCTCCGAGACGTCAGAGGCCCAACTGAATTAATGTTTTATAGAGAAATGCAGGAAAGCAAGACACTAAGCTGTAAGAGTTGTAGGAAAAGTGGAAACGTGGTGGAAGAGAAGATAAGCTGACTCACTGTAATGACTCTGAAAACACCCCCTCCATCATTCACCATCACTTTGTGAAGGTTTCTTGAAACAAGGCCCTGTAGATCCTGGCTCTCCCATACAATGGTGCCTTCAAAACTCTGTTAAGAGAGCAGGAGGTGGTTATGCAGGTATTTAAAGACTTTAAAAAATTAAAGAGTTTTGTGTGGATTTTTTTTAAATTTTAAAATAGTCAACTTCACAAAATGGACAGCTTGAATACAACAAAAATGTTTTACTTATACTTCAAAAAAAGTCTCAGAAAAATACATCTGTGAAACTCAGTAATACAACCATGCTTTTAGGACTAATCATGAATGTGAATTAGGAACATTAAATTTTTAACAGAAATCTCTACTGCAAAAGCCTTTGCCTTTTTAACATCAGCAAGACGTACGTTAAAACAGATTTGGAAATAAGTGCTGCTTTTTAGTTATCTGCTATAACCAGAGATCAGAGCCTTGAGCATCAGCAACACTCAAAAGAAAACAGTGCCATCTTTATCCTGGCAAAGCTGTCACAAACCACTGCAGTCACAGAACTCTGGCATGTCATCTTGGCAGGCAGGGAAAGGAGAAGGAAAAATAACTGAATCTCTTCAAAACTGAATATTTTTAACTCTTAATTTATGTCATTCCTTTAAAAAAATATACTGCATTTAAAAGCACTTTATCTCAACTTGAAACTCATCCCTCCAGCAGTCCAACTATTATCTATGCAATATAAGACTTCCCAAAGACCCCTAGGAAGAACAAGTGGTATGCTGAACAGCTAAGAGTGGTGGCAATAGTATATTTTCTTTCTTCCTTTCTTTTAAATCATCTCACCTTAATCACAAGGTGGTGTGGAGTTGCAGGGATATTACACTCCTGATTGCTAAATGATGAGTGCATTCAGTTTTGTTTCTCTCAGTTTCATAGGAAAAACCCTGGTACCTCGTATGGGCCTCAGAACAGAAACATGTTTCAGCTATCTGTAGATGCATTTCTATTTAATTTTACCAGCCTCCCAGCTTTATCCCACTTCAGCTTCCTTGTCCATCTTTTCCAGAAGCCCTCCAGTTACTGACAACCTACCACGTCCAGCTTACAGCCCTGCTGGATTCTTTGCTTTTCTCCAGAAGTAGGTCTTAACATCCACAACAGTCTCAGAAGTTAATTACAGCTGCATATTTCAGAAGGTTCGCATCTATTATTTATAATATCAGCTTTATAATCTAATAACAAAGCTAGTCAGTGTTCACTCAAGCCCGACTTGCATGCTCAATATCTTTCCCTCGCTTCTTCAATTACCTGTCAGTTATCAAACCAAATGGGCCACTAAGACATTTCTTAGTACCAGGACTCATAAGCATCCACACACAGTGAAACCCATACACTGAATTTCCGTGTTTGCAGAGGATGTCATCCACCTTTCTAACTTATTTTCATTTTCAAGTAGGGACTGGGCTTTAATCCCACTTTTACGCCTCATATGAAGACACAACCACTATTCAGTTGTTTAGTAAGCTTCTAAGTCCTTTCACTATTCAGCAATCAGAAATGTTACAACATTAAAATTCTTACTGTTCAGTATTACTGACTTCAAACATGTACCAGGAATCTTAATCCATTTTTACCAGTGAACCCTAAATGCAAGACGTTCTAAAGCTAGAAACTATCACTACTTTCCAGGTTGGGAGACTTGTAAGCAAATTTTCTAATTACTTCAGCCTTCAGCTATTCTTACTCTAAGCTGTTTAATGGAAACTGAAGACCAAAAATGCTAAAAGCAAAGCATTAGTGGCACACCTGAGACTACATCATCTGTTTTTCCCCATTTAAATTCCAACCTTGTTGTTGCCAGAACACAGCAGCAATTACAGTGAATACGGAACAGGTGTACTGATGTGATGCAGCCCTGCCAAACTCCTTTCCTAATGTTTAACAGCACTGTCCTTCTTGTCTCTCCAGCTACTCCCCGTCAGTGGTATGGAATACATATGGCACAGAGTTCCATTCTCATGCAAGCGGCCTTTGGCTTTTTGTCAACACAAACGCATTGCCAGGACTTGGCTGTAGGAACCCCACGTGTGAGTTTTAGTTATCTGCTGGTGGTGCTGCTCTTCTGTGCCTACAGTCGCTGCAAAGTGGAACGATCAGGGCAGCCTCCAGCAATCTGGCTTGCCAGATGCTTCTTCGGTGCTGTATTTCTCTCCCTTTCCTCCAGATGAGGAGAAAGAGCAGCACTTCAGTTGGAAGATGAATGAAGCTCTTCAGCAGTTGGTGCGATCCATTAATTCTTGAAGGTGCGAGGGCAGAGAATAGATATTGTCTCAGAAACCATCTTGTGATAATTAAACCGCTCACTAAATTTACTGCTAAAGAAGTAGGTAGGAACACGTGGGCGTTCTCTCTCTTCTGAATCATCTTTTATGCTTCAGCATCTTAACTACCACAGTAGACGACACGCTGTGCATAAACCGTATTAATCTACATTAGAAACATCACGTTATCCTGTAAGCGTTCAGCGCGTGACATATATCAGATTAAGGATGCCCACACAAAGAAATAAATGAACGCTAATATCCTCTTCCTAAATGAAATATTTCCCATCTGCCTTTCACGAAAAATGCAGTCATTTATACCCAAATTACAACTGCCTAGAATTTTAATGTCTCAGAACAAAGACTAAGAGGAGTAAGTCTTCCTTGTTATACTAGCAAATTACTGAGGAAACAACACTAAAAAAAAAAAAGTCTAAAACCTGATTAAGATGACAAACCAATTAATCAGCAGCAGCCCTCTTAAGAGGAGCGGGCTTCCAAATGCAGTCATTTGTACAGAGCCAGGGAAACAAATCAGGGATGAAACTGGCCCAAATGTCTTCCCTTCCCCTTCAGTTTTCTCTCTCATTATATTCTTTCATACAACATTTAACTTCTGCCATAAAAAACAACCCAGACCCAAAGACAACTTATGTAAATAGCAGCAAAGACCCAATCATAGACCCAATAGAAGAATACTTAAATGAAGAAAAACAGCGTAAAATGGCAATTGACATATTAGAAGTGGTGCTGCTGGTCCAACAGGAAAAATTCCTGGACCCAGGAGGATCTACTGAACTGGAATCCTCATTCTGAGTCAACTTGTATTCACTGACCTTTCTCTGTAACAATATCAGATCATGTTCCTTCCCAAGCTGCCACAACTAGAGCCCTATACCAAAACCCGTCTTGGACTGCACCTCCCAAAGCCAATAAGAAGAAAACAAACAAACAAACCCTTCAGTCCCTGGCCGTGACAGCTTGGCTAATGGTACCTCAGGACAATTGAGAATGCCAGTGCTGTCATTACTGCCTAGAATAAAGGTCTTTCCCAAATTTCTGAGGGGCACAGCCACAGAACGTTGACGTGTTTTAAAATACAAGTTTTACCATGTGAAAACCCACAGCCTACAATGTGCCACATCCTCCAGCTTATATTTTCACAAGACAACTCCATCAAAGACCTTGAAGTTTTCCTGTGTGATTCAAGGATGGAACAATTTCCTTGCCAATGTTGTTCTGAAACACAACTACTGAAATTTCAGGGGATCTAAGTAAGCACATCTTAATAACTATTTGGCTAACACTGTCATTGTGACCATAACACACCACTGTTGTGTCCAAGACACTGGAAGCAGAAACATCTTCTCCAACTAATCGCATTTTCCTTTTTAACAACTGGTGGTAAACAAGATGGTGAAAAAGAAATTCTGGACCCCAAATATGAATACCAGAAACCAGAGGTTTTCACTTGCCCTTTTCTGCCTCGAGCATAGGTCAGTTCTATTAGTCAATCACTCTGGCTAACTTGAAAGAACCGAAGGCACTTTTGACACCACGCATACCTCTGGCAAAATGAACTGCTCCACTGGCTTGTACCACAGTCTGTTCACTTGCACTCCACAGCTTGGTGGGCTAAAGCGCGCACTGAAGAGAGCTTCCTGTGAACAACCAAGGCAGTAAAGTGCTGTGAGATTAGGCAAATCTCATCATCTCAGTTACAATGAAACAGACTTACAGCATCGTATAAAGATTACTGAAAACTGTCTTCCTATGAGACCTCATGGCATTCAAGCATTGGACTGAAGAGAGGGAAGCAAGCAACAAGAGTGCGAGCTCAACCAGAATCCAGCCAAGGCAGCAGATCATCTGGAAGACTCAGTGTCCCAGATAACAGACTTCCTATCTTCTGTTTAAATAGCTGACTGCTATTTGCAACAGAGGATGCTGTCCCCTAAAACTTAATTAGGACTATATTAAATAGGCCACCAAACAGCTCTTAGGTCGTAAAAGAGCGACATAAAGATGCTGCATCACCAGATTTGCAATCTTTAGAAAAGTCTCCAAGCTTTCCTATGATACTAATTTTTCACCTTCACTGGAAGTAAAAACCTAACAGCCTAATAACTTGATCTGTGTTAACATTTAGTATTCTACCATTTAGCAAACATAAATCTGATTATATTATACCTTTTTTTTGTATTATAAAACCACCTCTCATTATTCATTCATAAAAGTCATACTTTGGTATATTTTCTGCACTTAATTTTAATTATTTTCTTAAATTTACAATTCTTTCTAATGTATTACTGCCATGAGCCTTGACACTGACCCACCAAATTATTACGAGAGATAAATGCAAAACATTAAATGCAGTGAACACCACAGGATCACAGCACGGCTGAGGTTAGCAAGGAACCTCTGTGCTCCATGTGCTTCATCCCCTGCTCCAGCCAGGACACACAGAGCAGGGTGCCTGGGGCCACATCCAGGTGGCTTTGGCAGATCTCCAGGGAGGCTGGAGCAACCTGTGCCAGTGCTCTGTCACTTGCACAGCACAGAAGTGCTTCCTGATTATGCTCAATCATTTTTTTTTCCCACTAGACACTAAATTATGTGTGTGTTATGCCCACATCCAAGCTTAGAAGTTAGGGGAATCATCACTGTTTGAATTGCATAAGGGGAAGCTCATTACCTGTAAAAAGCAGCACTTACAGGGGGAAAAAAAAGAAAAAATCCACAAAATAGACAAGAAAAAATTCAGACATACACTGCATATCTTTCTCCCAAAGTCAATGCATTTTTCTGGGCATGTGTTTTACGTGTATTTAACAGATTTTTTTTTTATTCCTTAATACCTATTAATATTTTAGAATCTCAAATGTAACCAGAAGTGTAGCCTGGAATTAGCTATTAGTGTTCATTCAAAAAGCATTTAAATTTACTCATAGTACTTTATGAAACTGTTTTAATTTCCTTTTCTTTTTCTCACCTGTACTGCATATATATAGGTGTGAAATAAGAATTTATGATGCAACTGAAGTAAAATATAATTCCTGTGCTTGCCATTTAAGTATTGCTCTTCTAAATCACCAACACAGCATGTTGCTTTCTGTAAGAAATAAGTTTGCAATACAGACAATATGCCTCAGTTCACTTGTAAAAGAGAAGTGCAATGCTCTACCTCATGTTCTGCCTGGTACAGTTTGACAGTGATGTTCCTCTGGAATCCCACCCCATCAGCTTCATAAAAGACCCCAAGACTGGTGATGACAATGGGGTAAAGCACACGGAAGTTCACGCTGACAACTCTGTCCTCAGATAGCACAGAAGGTGTGTCCTCAGGGAGGCTGAATGCTTCAATTTCCTGATTCAAAACTAGATGAAAAAAGAAAGGACAGAGATAATGTGAGAAGATTTCATAGCTCTGGAACTGCATATACACGAAGCACCTGGATACACGCAAAGCATGCTGATTAGCTTCCATGGCTGGCAAGTGCACAGGGATAACCAAGTGCTGGAGGAGAAGAAAAGACAGCTGACTGCAGACTGCAGTAAGGAGAAACTCCCAGTGATGCAGCAGTCTGCAGGTTACCAGCAATAGCAAGCCAATGCCTATGCATCCACAGAGAAAAACAATAAATTCACAAGGTGAAGATATAAATGCTTCTTGATCATGTATATGTCTGTGTATTAATATATTAAAATAATTATGTACCAAAATGGCATACATTTTTGCTCAACTTGGCTGCCTGTTTTAGCATTATGCCCTCCCCCGTGCCCTGAGGCAATGGTTATTCTTGGGAGACTGGCTAAGCAGAGGTTATGCCATTCGTATCCAAAGGTTACAGAAATTACTCTGGCTCCACAGCCAGGCAGTCCTTAGATAACTCGTAATTAAAGAGCAAAATTAAATAGGAAAAAAAAATGTCAGGAAGAAATTTGTAATTTTAGTTAAAGTATTTTTGTAAGGCAGCATTTCACTTTGCTTCTTTATTTCTATCAGCCAGACTTGCTTGGAACTCATTTCACCAACAGAGCCTTTTCCTGCCTTCCTACTGACTGCACTCATGTATGGTACTGGACTGCGTCACCGAAGCTCTCTCCAACTTGATTTCACACAGGGATGTAGTAAAAAATGTATAATAAAAATATACCACATGGGAGAGACCATTCCTTGATACAAGAAGAATGCAAATTCATTAGAATCCAACAGCCTCCCCTTCACACCCTCAAGACCTCCCCTCTCCATGCCTGCACTTGGCACTTACAGGAAGGTTATGTGACGTCAAGACAGCAAATTCTAGGCAGCGTTCATTTAAGGACTATCCATCTCAGTTAAGCACCTCAAGTTATTTTCATAAAAGGTGATCATTTCTAGTTCAGATCATAGAATTTTTATAAGTTAACTTCTATACCTGGATTACTGATGTTCAGAAGCTTGCAGGAGTAGGGGTCTTCTCTGTCCTCCACTGGCACAGCACAACCACGTGCACCTATTATAAACTTCACAAGGACACTAAAATAATTTGGTTTTATTAACACCAGTTCTTTTCCCTCCTCCCTTCACCTTCAATAAACTTATTTGATCACAGCGGCCCACCTTCCCCAAGATTAAGATTTAAAACCCCTTAAGATCAACAATGAAGGTCTCTGCATAGAGAAACCGTATGAATCCCTGTGTGGGGGCTCAGCTGCAAACACAGAACAGCCTTTTACACAAGGGCACAGGAATACTGGCCACCAGGATCGGGATTGTTGTTTTCAGCCCCAGTCCTGACAGTGCAAGTCAGGAGACAGTAAGCAGTACAAGCAGCAAGAGCATCGACCTCCACCCAGTCTTTCACTCAGCAGCTAAATATCCTCCTCAGATTCCATCTAAGCTATGAAAGGTCACATTTTCAGATGATCAGAGCAGCTATGCTTCACTCTGTACTGCACACCAAATTGGTGAACAGCAAATGGCTTTCAGTATAAGGCAGGTACTTAGAGGGGAGGCCTATAAACTTCACAGTGATTCCAGGAATGAACTGCAGAATTTTCTCAGTAAAAAATGTCTGGTCTGCAGATTGACAGGTCTATGTGAGTGGTCAGGAAGGGTACTGCTGGTATACTTGTGTCAGTGGGAAATACACCTAAACTTTGTCTCAACTGAAGCTGTTAAAAAACATTTTGTGGTGCTCTCACCAAAGACAACTGTGCTTGCTTTCAAGTATTCTGGGTTACTAAGCAAGTCAAGCTGCATACCATACAAAGCAGACACTGCAACGTGGAAAAGGGAAAGTCTGATACATCACTAATGAACAACAGCAATTAATCGTAAAAATGAACAGCAGCGAGCAGTTGAACCATCAGAAGTTTCTGTATACAGCTGTACAGTTAGAATTTCCTGTATAAAACAGCTCCAGCCCGCAACAAGCGGTATTTTTATACAGCACTAAGCAGATTTTAAAATGATCGGAACATAAGATGCTCAAAATGAAAGGGAAAAAATGGAAATCTTTTTTAAAAAACTGATTAAATCAAGAGATTTATGCATAATATTGTTTTCTTTTCACAGCCCCAAAAGTTTGAAACACTAGAGATTACCGTTGGCTCAGTGTTGGGTGTTGTTTCAAGTGCTGGAACCAAGTGTTCCTTATAACACTGCGCAGTTCATGATTGTGGCGAGCTGACAGAACACCTACAACAACATCATAATGTTTCAGCTTCCACTGAGGAAAGAAGGCCAGCGGACCTAGAAATACAAAGTAACAACAGATACGTTACATGCACGATTCTGAGCTGCAAGCAGTAATTAAAATGCACATCAAAAGCAAGAGTACCGAGCACCTGAAACACTAAAAACAAGAGATAAAATTACTGTTGCATTCTTGGTTCAGAAACAGGAAAACATCTTCAGCGCACCAAAACCTTCGCTATCAATCTGTAAAAACACTCCTGGAATGAACAAAGCAGGTCAGAAATCCTGTGGGTAAGGTACAAGGTCCTACTGTGTACTCTGCCAGTCTCATGGGAGCTCGAGCCTTCTGCTTGCTTGCAGGCACTTCTTTATCCTAAAGCCTGGCCACCTGGTACAAAGCCTTCACTGTTATAATTCACCATGATTCTACCCAGAAGAAGAAATATTTAAACCAAGCCTGTCAGATTCAAAAACATGCCAATTTTTCCTCTGTTTGTTCTTAAGGCTGCTGGACCCCTCAGCTTCACCACTTCACTCTACCACGCCAAGGCCTGTTGTTTCCAGCTGCTCGAAGCTGGGCAGCACCGTGTGCCTCCACACAGGGTCTGACATCCCTGCACAGAGTCTCTGGACATCACAGCCAACACTTGTAATCCATGGTTTAGCTTGTGCTGGTTTAACTTAGAGATCACAAAACCTGAGAACAGCCAGGGAGGTAGCTCAATCAACATCCAGACTTGGAGAAGAATACTTTTTTGCTCTAGGGTGTGTTCATAATGAATTGCACCTGAGACCTGAATCCCACAGCCAAATAAAACAGTGAGAAAATAAAATATAAAATAAAACAGCAAGAAAAAGTCAGAAAGGTGGGGGAAAAAACCATGAAGCTATTATTCACTTACACATACAATTTAGACATGTCACGTATATGATCTGATGCAGCATAAGTCACAAGAAAACAACGCTGACCTCCAAGTCAATAGTAACTAAATATTTATATAAGAAATCAATACTTGACATTGGGGACCAAAGTGAATTATCATATCTTCTATTTTTGTGCATTCTTAGGCCAAAATGTGAAGCACTAATAACAAGCTTAAAAAATACATATCTACTGTATTGCTCTTAACTTGCACTGATTGTACAAGACAACCAAGCCATTACAATTTCCAGTTACAAAACAAAGGGAAAACTGCCAACATGTTGGATTTTTTGGTGGAAGATGGAGAAAGAAGGTGAGCAGAAGCCTAATGTTAGCTATGCTACTGGCTCTCTGCATGATCCAGTGCAAGTCTCTGCCACCGTGCACTACTTACACTCCCATTTGCTTCACAGAGAAAGTACTTTACAGGCAGGTGGTTACAGGCCTGCTAACTGTGGAAAAACCAGACATGAAAAGAAAACCAAAAGAACAATAACAGGAAGACTATATATCACATTCCATGTTAAATCCTAAAAGTGCCACCCACTGAATGGATGCAGGAGGGAAAGCTTTTTTCCGTTAAAAGGCCACGCTCCCATTAGTTGCCTTGCTTTGGAATTCTTAGGTCTGTGTGGCAGGTGCATCAAGCAGCCAAGGACTTCTCAGTAAAGCGTAAGCAGCCAAACGTGCAGTGCCTACCCCACACTCTCCCAGCATCAGGCACAAGTTGCTTTCACTGACACTTTGCTTAAGCCCATTACCCCACAGCAAAGACTATGAAGATGTGAATGGAGGCAGCCTGTTTCCCAGCCACTGAGATCTATTTTGTTCTACACAGAAACCACAACGAGTACTTCTGTCAGCACTAAGAATGACAGAAGCCCAGCCTGCCAGAATCTTGTGCCACACGCCTAATTAGTTCTTTCAGCAGCTTTTCTTAGGCTGGGGTATTTGTAAGGACAGGCTCCCACACAGTTCTCTGACGTCTGACCAAACACGTATCTCTACTGGCGCAGTGTTCACCTCAGTACGACCTGCCATAAGCTGCCACAGGATGTGAAACCTGGGGAAAACACCAGTCTTTGTGACCTCCACCTGTCTGTCAAACATGACTGAGAGCTATCAACGGATCAAAGTCAGGAAGAAATGCAGGAGGAGGGGAATACATCCATACAGCACAAAGATGTGCCCTTAGAAGATGAGGCTGAAAACAAAGCAGCGCCTCCTGATGAGGTGACTGTGGGAAGAGGCCACTGCCGCCAGGCGGCCTGCTGGCCCTACTCGGATGTGAACCACCTCATCTGCAGCCAACAGCTCCAGAAGTATTATTTCCCACACTACAAATATTAACAAGCATCTCTCCTTCCTGTGAGACTGACTCTCAACAAAATGTCAAGCTAAGCTGTTAATTATATTTACAGCCATTACAAGGACATGAAAAGATTGAGAGATCATTTAGCTTGATTTTGTCAATAAACAAAGTAAACGTGATCTTGCTGCACGCATCTCTACTGATGAGTCCCCGAGCAACTACTGAATCTGCACGATGTTTTCAGACAAGTTTTACCAGGAGCACAGGCCCCAAAGTGACCCAGTACCAACACATTTCATGGAACCGGACAAAGAAGAGACTCACCTGGAGCTCTTGCCTACAGAGGCCCGGCACCGCATGCCTCATTGCACTATCAGGCAGTAATCCTCTGCTGGCTACTGCAGGACGAAGCCAGCTGTGCAGAATGCTGGGCTCTGCGCCTTCTGCCATCCTGCAGCCACCCACTTGTGCAGGTCTGTCAACGGACAGAACTTGGTAGGCTGCTCAGAAGTTAAGAATATTCTCAACTAATCCACTTCGTAAGACTTCAAAGGAACACCCCCCACAAATCCATGTGTTATCTTTGCCTATTCTTGTGACTTTGGAGATGTATCCCTGCTTTTAAATGCCCTTCTCATCTGTGCTGCTTTCTGAAAGATCCAAACAAACACGGAGGAAGGAATTAACTGAATATAAAGAAGGTTTGTATTCACAGAGTGCTGACACACACAGAAAAAGAACAAACCAAAGAGCAAAAGCAGCTCTCTCTCCACCTCTAAACTTCTTCACTTAAAGTAATCTGCTGTAGCTCGTCTGCATTACAGGTTTTTGTGTGAGCAGAGCTGCATGACCTCATTGCAGGACCTACGTTAAACCAGAGCTAAAAACCAACAAGAAGTGCACACGCTCTGCTCTGCAGGAGCACGGTACTCCTTAACACAGACAAGCCTTTAAGCAAGCTTTTAAGTACTTATGGATTCAATGAGGAAAACCTCTGCAGGCAGAAGATTTATTTATTTATTTTACATTAATGTAATTCCTTTAAGGAAATAGAACAGTGGGGTCCTATAGCATTGCAAAGCAGCAGTTGCAATACTGGCAGGCTGACAGTGCTCTGAACACCATACAGCACTCACACTATTCCAGGCCAAGCCTCAAAAGTGTAGAGGCAAAAGGAACAAAGCAAATCCTTTTTGCGACACCTGAAGTGATGAGCAGCACCTTTACCTGTTGAAGAGTAATTACCAACCTCTGAGCACAAAAGCCAGCTCCCAGAGAAGGATGCTTGCTTCCTTGTGGCTGTCCTAGTCGGTAGGCAATTTAGAAGAGCTTCCTTCAGTCACAAGCCTGGCTGCTCAGCTATGACACAACTGGTGGGCATCCTTTGGCTCTTGCTCTAATGCCAAAATGCATTAAAATGCATTTCTAATGTTGCTTATCAGGAGTTTGCAATGTATCAGACAGAACAGTTGCAAGACAAAAAAAAAAAAAAAAAAAAAAAAAGAATCCCAATTCAGTTGACAAATATTGGATTGACAATTATCTCATGCTCATCAAAGGTGAGAGAGTTGGTTTTGTTTGGCCTGGCCCAACCCTGAAAACAATGTTCTGGTAAGATCTTATGGACCGAGGCGGGGAACAACGGACATCTCAGGCAGAACCACACAGCTAGAGAGCCAACACCAAGCCTGCCTGCTGCCAGACAGTTTCAACCTCCAAGGCCATCAGATTAATCAGCCTTAACATGCCTACAAAAGATGAAACAACTCTATGATGAAGCAATATACTGCTCTCTGACAGACAGGGTTAACAGATGCCAAGAACATTTCTTCTTAACGTTCTCTCTTTTTGGCAGAATTTCTCCTTACAAAGCAAAGTTTTATTCATAACCAAATGATTTTTCTACTTTTTGTTATTTCCATGTCAAAAAGCCAACAGTGGGTTCAGCTTCTCCCTGCTCTCTCACCTGACAAGTGCACAGGCCAGTCCATGCAGGACATGGTCCTGATTCTGTGAGGCAAGTCACTAATTGCCAGCCTAACCAACTCTGTATGTGGATCCATTAGGACAGTGCTGGAAAAGTACGTGCTGAACCACAGGACAACAGATGGCACACAAGCAGCTTCAAAAAAAATGGTGTTTCTTAATCTGCTCCGTAATATTCACTAGTAAAAGACTGACTTTAACAGAACCACAAGGGCCACATTTTAGCTGCCACATACCCGCAGAAACACAACTGGAATTATGTCTGAAAAGGCATTATCATCAGCAAAGCAGTTTGTTACACTGAACCTGTGGGGCATTTGATTAGGTACAGTAACTGAAGGCTCTTATTTCCTACTCAATTAGAATCGTGCCATCAATTGAAACCCACAATTAGCAATGAACCCACATGGAGTGTGAAAAGCAGGTCTGTCTGTTCTTTCTCAAGTTTCTGAGGTCATTTTATAATTAGCTGCTATCCATGACTTTTACAAAAATTAACCAAAACTTCCTACCCACGAAATTTCCTTTGGATAGAACCTGTTTGTAACCAGTCAGACTTCAGTTAAACCTAAATGCATCTTCTTGCACATCTTGCTCAGAAGCACGAATTACAGCCCCATTCACTGGTGAAGAAAAGGAGTAGAGAGCCAGGAGTCAGGACACTACGTCAGCAGCCAGTGCCTTTCATCTCAGGGCTGATCCTATTTACTTTTTCCAGTTAATAAGTACAGTGTACAAGACGCATATGGCAGTATACTGGCTTCTGCAGCAGTGGGGTGAAAGTCATCGTGAACACAGAGGACAACCACATGCCACAGCGGGCCTAAGTGTGCAGGCAGGCTACAGCCTTTCACGTGGGCAGTCAGGAAGAAGGTTTTATTAAAGGAAGCTCTTCCAATGAAGGAGAAGCAGAAGAAGCAGGACAAGCAAGACCATAAGCTCCTGGAACAGCCCTTTCTAAGGCAATTAAAATCCAAGCGAACAAACATAGCAGCCCCAACCCTTTTTTAGATAAACATAGACTATAGAGCTGCCATTTGAACATGAAGATTAAGAGCTGCTTATTAGAAAGGTTGAGTACAATGGGTAGTCAGAGATGGCTCTTTCAGTCTTGTGTTCATGAGTCAGTTGCGTCAAGGTAAATAATTGTTACAACAGGCCATCAGATTTTAATAGAAGTTTCCATTCTGCATCTGTGTGAATGCATGCACAATGGTTCCTGAGAGGAAAAAACTTCTCAAAAAGTAGAACTGCTCTTCTATTGCTTTCGATCTGTGCTGGGGCAGTTTTTGCAACTGTTGAGACACTACACAGGAAAATGAAACACCAGGGAATACACAGATAACGTGTTTCTATGTCACAGCTACTATAAGACATTGTCCCACAGTCAAATCTATTCTTATTGTGAGGGCAGAGTCCTCCTTAAAAAACATGAAAACCAGGCCTATGGAGAGCACATATCTCATATTGAGCATTTTTCTACCAACGATGGAAATTTACCTTTTATGAGAAGTGTCAGTTTTCCTTCCCTCCACACTGATACATCACTCAATTAACTACAACCAAACAACCCTTGCACAAACTAAATGCATGCTTATTAAAAAAAAAAAAAAAAAAAAAAAAGCAAAAAAGCACTATTGAATGCAATATAGTTTCATGGTAACCTGCACAAACTCCAACACAAATGCTAACAAGAAATCCCAGAACAGCAAAGCTTCTTCCCCATCCAAAGCTGAGAAACCTCTGCATTTGATTTAGAAATCTCAACAGAAAACATCACCATGATGCACTGGAACAGGTTGCCCACGGAGGTTGTGGACGCCCCATCCCTGGAGGCATTCAAGGCCAGGCTGGATGTGGCTCCAGGCAACCTGGTCTAGTGGCTGGCGATCCTGTACATAGCAAGGGGGGTGAAAACAGATGATCATTGTGGTCCTTTTCAACCCCGGCCTTTCTATGATTCTATGATTACGATTCTATGAGATTTCACACAGCCACCTGCAGCTCCCACATGCTGAGCTTACAAGGGCTGCACCACGGAAGACGAATGACACAGTGACCCCCAGCATCCAGAGGAACCTCAGTCTCAGAACAACAACTCCTGTGACAACTTAGAATCACCTCCATAAGGGGCACACAGGCACAGCCACACACCATGTCTCCAGAGCACCCCAGCTCCCACCCTGCTCGCCCCACACCTGCGGTACCCAGCAGTACTGGAGGCCTGCAGACTCGGCACCGCTGCGTACAGAACCTGCCCCAAAGCATGGCTTTGTCACCCAATGGGCCGCTGGGTCTCTCAACAGAGCTCGAGGACAAAATATGCTGTTATCTCCGGATCGTTTCCCAGACATCCTATAAAAAGAACATTTCTTAACGCTCCCAGACAGCACCTACGGGCGTCTGACAGAAGTTTCTCCCCAAGCAGACGCTTATTTCTACCCGCCGTGCAGATCCACGGCCTGAAAACCACAGGTCGCACGACGAAGAACGCAACGCGGCCCTTAGGGCTCTGCTTTCACTCGCACCCCAACCCTATAAGGAGCTCTCCGCCGCCCCGCAGGACCGGCTGGCGCGGGCTGCCCGTCCCGGAGCGGCGCGCAGCGGGACGCGCTGCCGGTCGGTCGGCAGCCAGCGCTGGAAGCAGCCGCGGCCCCTCGCCGCCGCCGGCAGCCGTTTAACGGCCGGCCGCGGCTCCCGGCTCCCCGCCCCTCTCGGCCCCAGTCCCGCCGCGGGAGCGCCTCCGAACAGCCCCTGCCCTACCTGCCGGCCGCCTCCCGGGGCCGCCGGGGCAGCTGAGCAGCAGCCAGAGGTGCAGCGCGACCCCGAGCGCACAGGGGCACAGCAGCACCAGCCAGTTTCGCATTGGCCGCCGCCGCAGCCGGCCCCTTCCCCTCCGCGCCGGGACTACGGGCCCGCTCGGCGGAACGCGGCTCCTCCTCTCCGCGCCGCCGCTCGGCCGGGCCGGGCCGAGCTCCGCTGCCCCGCGGCCGCTGGGAGCTGCAGTCCCGCCCCAGCCCCGGCGGGCGGCGGCGGCGCGGGCGGCGGCGGCGGCCGCCTACAGTCCCCAGAATGCCGCGGGAGGTTGGGACCGGCGGGGCGGGGGCGCGGCGGGAGAGCGGCGTCCTCTGCCTCGGGGAGGCGCCGGGGGAGCAGGGCTTCGCCTCGCCTCGTGCGCGAGCGCGGCGGGCAGCAGCCGCGCACCTGGCCGCCCCGGGTCTCCTCCCGCCGTCGGGAGCGAGCCGTGCCTCGGACGGCGCGTGGGGACCGGGCGGCGCGGGAATCCCCCAGGGCCCCTCTCTCCTCACGGCAACTTTTATTTACGCAGGGTACCAAAACATCAGCGCTGACGCGAGATCCTTATATAACCGTGCCGAGGGAGGGCTGTCTGCTGGCACACCGCTCTGCTGGCACCGCGCGCTCTGCGTTCCACGTTTCTACCGTCTGGAAAAATCTTCGTGCTACCATCCGGCGGGGCGCCGCGCAGAGCTGAGCCCGGCGCCGGGCGCGCTGCCGCTCAGCTGAGGCGCGGCGTCGGCCGCCCGCCTCAGTGCCGCAGCCCGGCGCCCCAGCGCGCCCGTGGCACGGCTGCGTGTGGGCATCTCACCTCAGCGCTGGGCTTTGACAGCCCGTCCTCTGCGCGGCTCCGCGTAAAGGAGAAAGGACTTTGAGTTAAATCAGCGCTTCGCGGTGAAGATGCCTCGGCGCTGCGCTTAGAGCTGACAGACGTGGCGGTGCCACAGAAAGAGACGAAGAAGGGACGCCGCACCTGGAGCAAGCTCCCAGGCGGCCGCAGACCCCATTTTACGTGCCCCTCCCTTGCTGGCAGCTCAGCTCTCCTACGTGGCTGTTGGCAAGGCCACGAAGCCGTAAGGTCGTGCAGGCCTGCCCCATTGCCAGGAATGGCTGCCCTCGGTTGTGCTTGGAATGCATGAGGCTCTTCTCTGTGATTTGCGTTCTTGCACTCAGCCTCAGAAAAGCAAGAAGACAACCCTCCTGGTTCATCTTTGTGCAACACTAGATTTACCTGCAGAGGTTCTCCTTCAAAAAGTCATGGTATAATAACAGCATCGCTTTCCAGAACAATCCCTTACTAATCCAATAAAGGCAAGAGGATGCTTCACTTTGGCAGAGAACTGCATCAACACGACAGCACTCAAAACCAATTGAGTGAAATACTTCATTCCAGCAAGGAATCTATTATTTGGCTACAATCCCATGGAGGATTTCAAACAATTGGTATGTCATTACCATGGCAGGACAGTGGCCAAGATGTGATGGTAATATTCTTGATTTGGGGAAGGCATTTAGGAGATGTTAATAGTCCAAGCTGTCTTGCATCTAACCCACAACCACCACTTGCTGAAGCTGGATAGCCACAAGGGTAACTTCACCCTGATTAAACAAGTTTCAATAATGTTGGATGAAGGAGAGCATGAGATTATTGATACCTTGAGAAGTTACTCATCTATCTGGTCCTTCTGAACACAGACAGCAAAGAGAAAGGTCTCCTTGACCTTCTGCATGGTGAATCTACATGAAAAAGCAGTGTTGATAAATAAGCTTCTCAGAAGCTAATGTATGAGCTAAGTTGTTGTGTAATAGCCCTAAGGCTTAAATGAATGCTTCCTGAAGCTATTCTATCAGAAACACATAATTTAGTTATTGAACCTCTATGAAGTATAATTAAAAGAAAGCATCGAGTTTGTAGAAAAGAAGCCTAAATCTGTTCTTGAAAAAATCAAGCTGTGGAAATGATTGGAAAACATTTAAAGTCCTTTCATAGCTTAACTAAGACTCATTTTTCAACAGGAGTGAGATATTGAAAGGAAAAACCAATGATTTTATCATACGTATTTTGGGTATAAACAGAAAAAAAAAACACATTGGAAATACATCTGCTTTATTGTCTTTGCATATGTAAACATATTTAATATGCAATTGAGTGCGTATTTGTCAGCAAACAATAGCAGTAAAGTATTTGCACAAATATGCTATTGGTATTAATGGCTATTTATACTTGCCTTGCCCTTCTGCAGATTCAGCTGCAGAAATAACAACAGGTCCAACAGCTATCACTGCTGTACATTTGCTTGTACTCCTCATACTTGTATGTTAAGTTGCCTCCATGGGCAGGTGAGCTGATGGGAACTTTATAAATACGTCCAGGAGTTATAATTACTTGCAGACAAAACAGAGGATCACATTCCTCAATACCTTGCTTTCTATACAATAATACACTCACAATGTATTGTTCAGTCAAAACACACTATTTTCATTCTGTTCTTACTGTGCACATGTATTCTTCTGACGTTACAGACTCAGATTGTCCCTCTGGCACATGAAGCACAGCACAACATGTTGGGCACAGGAACTGGAGAGAGAAGAGACCAAAATGTAAGTCCCCAGGCTGCTTGCAAACACAAGATGCTTCTGTTAAATTTGCATAATGTCTCTGGGTAGGCATTGTCCTTTCTGACACACCAGGGCTGCAGTTACACACCATGATCAGCCTGTCTGCAGCATTCAGATTTTTAATGTCTGTTAGCCCATGGACATAATTCTCATAAGCTAAACTCATAACCCAGACAGATTTCACTGTGTGTATTGAGGGTTACCAATCCTTTCTTTAGGATCTCCAGAAGATATCGATCTTGTTTATTTTCCCAAATGGAAGCAATGCTTCCCCGCTTCCCCTTTTTGCTTTCAGATCAGGGTGAAGTACAGAAGCAGGTGAGTCCCCGGACTCCTCTTCTTGGTTGTTAATGGAGTCAGTATAATTGGGATCTGCTGAGGACAGAAAGGAATTCCTGTGAAAAAAGATCTCTGGAAGGCAGGCTGGAAGGCAGGCAGGCTTCTCTCTGAAGGGCTGCCAGCTAGCAGCAGGAAAGACAAGTCAACAGTATGTGACCAGGCAAGTCTAAGGGCTGATGCAGAGAGGAATAGAGATCCTAGTAGAAAGCTTTGCACAGCACATGGTGTGCAGCTAGGGTGGCATCAGGCCTGTGCTCATTTGTACACTGGATAGAAGCAAGCATCTAACAATGTTTTGCCCAGGGCTATTTTCCTTAATAGTCTCCCAAGGGAGACTTACTAGACACAAAAAAAAGTCCAGATATGTTACGACTACTGATTCTACTCTCTGTTCCCCCTTAGTCAGAGATTCAAAGAGCTAAGAAGGTCAAAAAGGCATCATTGCCTTCACAGAAACCACACTGACTGGACTCTCCATAGCAATACCACAGTGCTTCAGAACTAAATCTCGCAATCCCTTCATATAGTTGGTATTAAAACAACCTGTAGCTAGGATCTGTAAGACCCACCAAAACTAGAGCACTGCAGGGTGTCGTAAGTTGCACTGATTTTATTCCAGGGCATTTATTTATTTGTTTTTTAATGAAGGCTGTCCTGTGCTTCTCAATTGGAGAATGAGCTTCTTGAATCTATTTCACACTGTCGCTGTTTGGGTTGAGCGTTGCAGTGACAACAATCTGTTTCACACTCAAATTTGAGAAGTTTGGTAAGCCTTTAAGCTTTGCTGATTTATGTCATCCAAACTTGCTCTTCTTCCCTGATGTTTCCTGTACAGAAGCTTTAACCATTTTGGCACACAGCTCTGATTTGTAGCAGAAGCCACAGTTTAGAATGGCTTCTCTGAGATCCAGGGATTTCCTGTAGAGCCTTCCTTTCACTAGCATTGCAAGAACCAGACAATAAAACAGCTCTTGCATATTCAGACAAAGGTAATCCAAATTCCTCATCTCTTTCTCCTTCATGGTAAGATGGAGCTCCACACTTCATTTCCTCTCGCCAACAGGTCACCATGCTCTATTTTAGAAGGAGGTAAATTAGAATAATCCTTATAATGCTTTGGCAAGAAGAGGTTGTTCAGTTTTATTTTTGTTAATTGGAATCAGCCCAACCTGCACAAGAATTCACATGAACTGCCACACAAAACCAGTTTTGCAGAGCACCACAGAGATCCAGATCTATCAATACAGCAGTAATGTTTCAATTCTTATGCAACTCCTTGTCATTATCACAACAATCAAAAACATAGAAATAGACTCAAAACCGCCCATATGGTAGCAACAACACATTGACAGGCAGAGAACAAACAGGAATGTCTTGCAGAGAGCTGAATTAGTCTGAAATAGCCAATAACCAGGCAACAGCCAGGCGTGGGGTTAGGTACTTTGTGTCTAGCTAACAAACAGCTATTTTTAATAAGCGGTAGAAAGGCTTGAAGATGTGGATATAAGAGGTTATGGGTTCCAAGGAGTCCTGCAGAGACCTAGGGCAGCAAGTATGCTTTTTAAGCACTCAGCTGGCAGAGCGTTAAGCTGTTGAGGGTATTACAAGACAGATTGACTCTGTGCTATTTATCACCATTTTATTATTAACTGTCATTGGATAGACAGTACGCAGGCTTATTTTTACATGACTGGAGGCTCTTCAGCCCACACGGTGCTTACCCTGCTTAGAATGGATGTGAGAATGTGCCAGATGGCTGGTTCATTTGTTGCAGAAGATGCAGTATGAATGAGGTGGGACCATGAAAGAAACTGTTACAAGTGTAAGGTAGGCTCGTTGCTGCTCAGGATTGGATTTGTCATCACCTCCTGGGATAGGAGAAAAATCATGAAACTAAGTATTCTACATTGTTTTATTCCTTCAGTTTCTGGGCACTTGGCTCGCAAAAGTCACTCCAGTTTGTAGTGGTGAGGAGTTGCAGGTGAAGCGCGAGCAAGTGAGAAACATTGCCTCACGTACTGAAAAAGCTAAGCGCTCTGGGAAGGCAAGGACTGCCAATTCCACCTGTCCTGCTCAGCCTCGGCTTTGCACTGTGCTGGGAGTACTTACACCCTCTTGTTCCTGCTGGGTTCTGTGGAGATACTTTGTGAAGCAGTCAATCACCAGCACCGCAGCAAAGTCCATCAGGGATTCTTCTGCCTTGAAAGCAGAA